AGCCATGAGGGAGGCTGCCAATGGAGCCTTCGGTGGAGCTCCTATGGGGCCACGATCCGTGTGAGGGGTGTGCCGAAATGGCCCGAGGCCGCCATGCGAACGCTGCCACGGGGGCCTTCGGTGGAGCTCCCTATGGGGCCACGATCCCCGTGAGGAATGTGCTGAAATGGCCCGAGGTCGCCATGCGAACGCTGCCACTGGCGCCTTCGGTGGAGGCCACGATCTTCGTGAGGGGTGTGCCGACGTGGCCCGAGGCCGCCATGCGAACGCTATCACTGGGGCCTTCGGTGGAGCTCCCTATGGGGCCACGATCCTCATGAGGGGTGTGCCGAAATGGCCAGGGGCCGCCATGTGAACGCTGCCACTGGGGTGAGGGGTGCGCCAAAATGGGGCGGGGCCGCCATGCGAACGCTGCCAATGGAGCCTTCGGTGGAGCTCCCTATGGGGCAACGATCCTCGCGAGGGGTGTACCGAAATGGCCCGGGGCCGCCATGCGAACGCTGCCACGGGGGCCTTCGGTGGAGCTCCCTATGGGGCCACGATCCTCGTGAGGGGTGTGCCGAAATGGCCCGAGCCGCCATGCGAACGCTGCCACGGGGGCCTTCGGTGGAGCTTCCTATGGGGCCACGGTCCTCGTGAGGGGTGTGCCGAAATGGCCCGGGGCCGCCATGCGAACGCTGCCACTTGGGTCTTCGGTGGAGCTCCCTATGGGGCCACGAACCGCGTGAGGGGTGCGCGAAGATGGGGCGGGGCCGCCATGCGAACGCTACCACTGGGGCCTTCGGTGGAGCTCCCTATGGGGACACGATCCTCGTGAGGGGTGTGCCGAAATGGCCCGGGGCCGTCATGCGAACGCTGCCACCGGAGCTTTCGGTGGAGCTCCCTATGGGGCCACGAACTGTGTGAGGGGTGCGCCAAAATGGGGCGGGGCCGCCATGCGAACGCTGCCACTGGAGCCTTCGGTGGAGCTCCCTATGGGGCCACGATCCTCGTGAGGGGTGTGCCGAAATCGGGCGGGGCCGCCATGCGAACGCTGCCACTGGAGCCTCCGGTGGAGCTCCCTATGAGGCCACGAACCGTGTGTGGGGTGCGCCAAAATGGGGCGGGGCCACCATGCGAACGCTGCCACTGGCGCCTTCGGTGGAGCTCCCTATGGGGCCACGAAGCGCTGTGCTGGGTGGGTGAAACGCAGGGAGGAGAGGGGAGGAGGAGAGGAGGAGGAGGAGAGGAGAAGAGGAGACGCGGGCCACCGTCTCTTCAAAACGAGGACCCAACACCACAGGATGGTTGGGAAAAATGTATTCGCGCGCGCTCGTCTCTAACGAATCATCAGTATTCCAAAACCTTTGCAACCAGTGAAACGAAGTGCATGCGCGCGCGTCATCGCGCGCGCGTGCTGACGTTTTCCTAAAACCTTAATTTCGCGTGGATCTCGAAACCGAGTGTTCCAACATTGATATTTTTGAAACATATATTGTTTCGCAAAACGGATGGTCAAACACAATTTGCGCGCGTTCTTGCGCATTCTTAGGAACAAACATAGGTTTTCCACATTCTCATAACGCGATACCAAACTGGCTTCGCGAGCGCACGTCGGAATCGTTCGCGCGCCGTTGTGCGCGTGCTCTCGCGAGAATCCTTTGCAACGGCTGGGGCGAAGTGCACGCGCGCGGGTCGTCGCGCGCGCATGCCAAAATCGTTTGGGACGTCGCCGGTTTCGCAAGGATTCCAAAACGAGTGCCCCCAAATTATATAATATCATATGTTTTCGCAACGTCAATTTTCAAAAATGTTTGCGTTTGTGTTCGGGCGAATCCTTGAGAACACCATCTGTTTTCTCAATTATTCAATCGCTTCGCTCACTCCGCCGGCCCATGTTGCATGATCGATACTGCTTCGCCGTGGGCCCGGGGCCATTGTGGCGCCGCCGAGGAGGAAAAAAATGAGGATGGGGAAGGGGGGGGAGGAGGAGGAGAGGGTGAAAAGGAGAGGGCGAGGATGAAGATAAGTAGGAGGAGGAGAAAGAGGAAGGGACGGAGGACGAAACCTCTCGTTGGCATCTTGTGTTGCTCTTGGGGCCAAACAGGGTCGTCGTCAAGATACTTTTTTGGGAAGCCTCTTGGGGTCTTTTGAGAAGCCGTTCGGGGGCGCCTGGGAGGCATTTTTGAAGCCTTCTGGGGGGCCTCCTGGGGGCCTCCTGGGGCCTCTTGGGGGCCTCTTGGCGGCACCCTGGGGCCTCTTGAGGGCCTCTCGGGGCCTCCTGGGGCCCTCTTGGGGCGGAAGGCGCGAGGTTTCGGTTCGTGGTCCCCCTCTTGGGCCCCTCTTGGGGCCGTCTTGGGCCGTCTTGGGCCGTCTTGGGCGCCTCTTGGGCCGTCTCGGGGCCCTCTTGGGCCCTCTTGGGGCCCTCTTGGAAGCCTCTTGGCCCGTCTTGGGGCGCTCTTGGGGGTCTCTCGGGCCGTCTTGGAGCATCGGATGGCCGAAAAGGGGACAAGGCCCAAATCCTTCCAAAACCATCGTAACATTTATGATTTTGGCCTCTCGGGGCCCTCCTGTGAGGTCTCTTGGAGGCCACTTAGAGGCCTCTTGGGCCGTCTTGGGGTCATCATCGGCGTCTTGGAGCGCTCTTTGGGCGTCTCGGGGGCCCTTTGGGCAGTCTTGGGGGCCTTTTGGGGCACTCTTGGCGCGCTCTGGGGGGCCTGAGAAGCCACACCCAGGAGGAAAACCATCTCTGGGTAGCAGTGGTCGGGCTGCGGTCGGGGTACTTTTCGCCGGGGGACCCCCAGGGGCCGCCCCGCGCGCGCAAACTAGAAATATTGTTAACTAGTTACTGGAGATCTTAGCACGCTTCTGGCCCGTTGGGCCGGCGAATTTCAACTGGATTCTGCCAAACTGGCCTCTCGCGCCGCATGCCGATGTGATTCGAACGCCCTTGCGCGCGCTTTGGGGGGGTACGACCCGTGTCAACTGATATCATGCGGCCACTCTCGCGCGCCGGCCGCGCGCGCATAGTCGAAGTCCTTCCAAAACCTTCATCACCGACGCTAGGACGCCGGCATCGTCGTCAGCGTGATCAGCGTCGGCGCCGTACATGGCCGTGCCGTCGTCGCTGTCAGCATCGCCGCCATCATCGCCACTATCATCATCGTGTCTACCGTTGTCGACGTTGCCATGATACCGCGCTCGCTCACGTCGCCGACTCGCACTGAAGTGCCCGCTGGGATGTGGCCAGCGGTCAGCGCCACTGCGGCCGCGTCGGTCGCGCCAAAGTAACTGGCCGCTGCGCG